GATCCACATCGGCAGAGACCTCGACTGGCCTGCCTTCAGCAGTGACCAGCAATTCGGAAGCCTCAACTGCGGCAGAATCCACCATGTCCAGTCTGGGATCCACATCGGCAGAGACTTCGACTGGCCTGCCTTCAGCAGTGACCAGCAATTCGGAAGCCTCAACTGCGGCAGAATCCACCATGTCCAGTCTGGGATCCACGTCGGCAGAGACTTCGACTGGCCTGCCCTTAACAGTGACCAGCAATTCGGAAGCCTCAACTGCGGCAGAACCCACCATGTCCAGTCTGGGATCCACGTCGGCAGAGACTTCGACTGGCCCGCCCTCATCAGCGACAAGCAATTCGGAAGCCTCAACTGCTGCAGAACCCACCATGTCCAGTCTGGGATCCACGTCGGCAGAGACTTCGACTGGCCTGCCCTTAACAGTGACCAGCAATTCGGAAGCCTCAACTGCGGCAGAATCCACCATGTCCAATCTGGGATCCACATCGGCAGAGACTTCGGCTGGCCTGCCTTCAGCAGTGACCAGGAATTCGGAAGCCTCAACTGCGGCAGAATCCATCATGTCCAGTCTGGGATCCACGTCGGCAGAGACTTCGACTGGCCTGCCCTTAACAGTGACCAGCAATTCGGAAGCCTCAACTGCGGCAGAATCCACCATGCCCAATCTGGGATCCACATCGGCAGAGACTTCGACTGGCCTGTCTTCAACAGTGACCAGCAATTCGGAAGCCTCAACTGCGGCAGAATCCACCATGTCCAGTCTGGGATCCACGTCGGCAGAGACTTCGACTGGCCCGCCCTCATCAGCGACAAGCAATTCGGAAGCCTCAACTGCTGCAGAACCCACCATGTCCAGTCTGGGATCCACGTCGGCAGAGACTTCGACTGGCCTGCCCTTAACAGTGACCAGCAATTCGGAAGCCTCAACTGCGGCAGAATCCACCATGTCCAATCTGGGATCCACATCGGCAGAGACTTCGGCTGGCCTGCCTTCAGCAGTGACCAGGAATTCGGAAGCCTCAACTGCGGCAGAATCCATCATGTCCAGTCTGGGATCCACGTCGGCAGAGACTTCGACTGGCCTGCCCTTAACAGTGACCAGCAATTCGGAAGCCTCAACTGCGGCAGAATCCACCATGCCCAATCTGGGATCCACATCGGCAGAGACTTCGACTGGCCTGTCTTCAACAGTGACCAGCAATTCGGAAGCCTCAACTGCGGCAGAATCCACCATGTCCAGTCTGGGATCCACAACGGCAGAGACTTCGACTGGCCTGCCTTCAGCAGTGACCAGCAATTCGGAAGCCTCAACTGCGGCAGAATCCACCATGTCCAGTCTGGGATCCACAACGGCAGAGACTTCGACTGGCTTGCCTTCAGCAGTGACCAGCAATTCGGAAGCCTCAACTGCGGCAGAATCCACCATGTCCAGTCTGGGATCCACATCGGCAGAGACTTCGGCTGGCCTGTCTTCAACAGTGACCAGCAATTCGGAAGCCTCAACTGCGGCAGAACCCACCATGTCCAGTCTGGGATCCACATCGGCAGAGACTTCGGCTTCAATTTCTTTCACCACTGTCTCCGTTCCTTCGCCGCCCAGTACATGGACTGAAGGCGTATCGACGCTTTCGCCATTTTCGGAAAGCTCTTCGAGCTTAGCAGTTGTCACCACCCGATCTTTTTCTCCTAAATTTACCCCTGCAACTTCCAGGCACACAAATCCACCAAACAGCTCCACATCTGCCTCTCCTTTACGAAGCACCACTTTAGGGCCTCGACCTACTATTGTTTTACCAACAACTACCACAAGTTCTGCATTCTCTACAAGCAAAGCATTTTTCTCAACAGTCTTGATTCTTGTATTGCTTTAAGATGATTTGAGGAGTTCTTTCTCAGTTAAAGCATTGCTAACTTTCTGCTAACTAACGCTGACAAAAAATGATGTTACCTCTTAAAGAATATTTCTTCATCTTCATTTATTGAAACTGCAGTGCCTTCATGTCCCATTTCATCTTACTCTATCGCTGAGGAAGAACCACAGATTGCCTCTTCAAGACTTTACAGTGAGCATTAGTAATAACAAGTTTCTCTAGTAGAAAATGAACGTTTGGTGTTTTATAGATTACTACTATCCATGCAATATTCACATTTTTTCTATACTGAGTAGATTAGCTAGTACCGCTCTCTTAAGCAATATAATGTGATTTTGTGTACCAGAATGTTAGCCTGCATTTCCTCAATACTAATATACAACTTATATCTACCGCGGGTGTAAATATGCAGATAGGTACACCTCTGTTAACTTTTTAGTTTCAAGTAATAAATATTATTCAACAATGTTGTCGTTATTTCATTTTTACAAAGTTCTCCTAGCACAACTTTGGTTCAGGTTTTCTAATTTCCTGCCGAGGATTTTCTGGAAAAAGTTATGAATATTCCCTATTATACGTCAAATCGCATAATCAGCAATTATCAAGGAGCAGGGTATGATTCTGCGCAAGTGGCCTAATGTGATTCAAAGGTATCGAAGAGAAAGCAGTATAATGTTTATTTGTGTGACGTTAAAATTGTTTTGCAGTTTTGCAGAAGTCTATCAAGCAAAGGCGAGTCCTAAAGAAAATTGAAAACTGCAAAGAATTCTTATATCTGCGATTGGCTGACGCCCCCAAAACACTAAAACTCTCTTTTGAGAACTGTCAGTTAGGCATTGGTGGTTTCAAAGAATATTCAAAGCATGGATAATCGAAGAGTTCAAAAGCTGGGCTGAAGTCTGCGGTCGTTGATTTTGTTGGAAAAAAGAAGTGATAGAATTTGTTAGCCAACTTCCCGAGAAATTTTCTTCAGAAACCCTTCAATCTCGTAACTCTGAAAGTTCGAGAGTTGTTCTTGATTTTTTCAAAGTTGAGTGATTTACAAAGTGTTTGAGAGACATTTTTTACTCATAAGATATGTTGCTTGTGCTTTTTTACACTTGAGATCATCTTGCGTATTTCGAAAATCGGGAGGGAAAAGGACGAAGATAAAAAAAACATTCATACCAACAAATCATTGCGGTTTCTTACAAAGGTAGCTCAACTAGGCTGATAAGAAAGCAAAAGCTCACCTTCTTTTTCGAAATTATGCTGCGCATGTGGGACCCAGTGTATAAGCACATTTGAAACCTTACCATATGGAGCGTAAAGTCTTCAGTTCGAAAATCACGACGCAAATATTGCTTTTCTGTGCAATCGGATGTTTGAATGCTTTTCACCTTTTTATTGGAGAAAAGTAGGCCAATGACTGGTAGAAGTACAATACCGCTCGCAATTTGTAAAAAAAGATAACCGCTGCGGCAGCCTAGGTTTGCCCATTTTTGGGTCTCATCACCCTATTTTGCTTCACAGTGGACAGATTCTAACCCAAAAACATCATTTGGCTCGACGAAGATGTGCACCTTCCTATATATGAAATGAATTCGCATTTTCGCTTGCGATAGATTGGTCAGCGTGGTAACTATGCATTCCAAGCAAATTAATGTAAGCAAAAATTTGGAAGATTTGCGAAGTCTGGCTACGTACCGCGTGCCTACCGTACCCACATAGGCACATCTATGTCAGAAGATACTTCTGGTCGAGCTTTGGCAACTGGTGCCCATTCAGAGTCCGTCCGCTCTGCGCGAAGTCGGACGAACTTCGGCTGCCAAACCGTCATTCTTTGTCACATAAACTGAAGCACACAATTTTCCCATTTCTCGCTTTAGTTTGCTTCGCGTTGTGGGATAAACAAACAGTGGATAAACGCGAGGCTCAGTGATGAGCTGCTTGATAAAAAAACGAAATGGGTGCGTCTTGTACTCGTGAAATTAGGTAGTGTTTTACGACCAAGATTCAATATATGCGAGCAAACCAATAACTGAGTTTTGTACATTTGTTCTACGTTATACCGGGCCAGATTTAGGTTAGTCGGTGGTATTATTTGCCGACCTTAGGTTTCGACAAAGTCCTCGTCTTCGAAGGTTTATGTTCCACCGCGGTGCCAGTGAGTTAGTCGGTAACCGCCCAAAGTAGACGAGCCACTCTCACACTACTTTGTGCGGCTACTGACTAACTCACACCGCAGTGGAACATAGACTTCCGGAGACGACGTCTTTGTCGAAACGTATCAGTAAATGCACCATCGTACTAACCCAGATCTGGCACAGTATTACATAGAACTGGTGCATCTGCCCAGGTTGTTCAAAAAAGAGAGAACTTGGAACTTAAGTTTCACATAGTAAGCTCAAGAAATACTTTTTCGGAAAGTCTGCGAGTTAAGGAATCTAACATAAATATTTTCCATAAGAAGGAAAATAAAAAGTAGTTAAAGGTAGGAAGGAACCATTTTAAGTGAAGCCAGGGAGAGAATTCCATTTTAACACGATAGAGCTACGACTAGCTTTCGTGAACGAAGAGGGATCGGCAGCGATTTGGAAACTTTCGAGAAAGTTCTACTCTTTCCGGCTACGCAGTTGCCTGCCAACACGATCAACTTCTACGTAAGGGGTGCCCACCTCAAAGTGTGAAAACGCAAATTCAGTGGAGGTAGGAAACAAACATCGTACTATAGAAAGGTAAAAATCCTCAATTTGCATGAGAGTATGTATTCAACGAGATCAGGAGCCCTGTCTTGCATGTCTATCCAAAGTTTCTAAGATCTTATTGTTAGTCCTTAGCTCCGGCATAGGTCACTTATCCTCGACTTGAATGTCAGTAAATTGCTTTGACCGCAGTGGGAATTGAGTTTAGTTCTTCTTCACTCTCATTATGTAAGAATTTGTTAAACATTTAATAATTGTAAAGATTTTGGCTCAGTAAATAATTTGATATTCTGTACTACTTTTCAGGTATTATACTTCTCAGCAAATTTGCTCTTCATAGAAGTCTTTGTCAAAGATGTAGCTCTGATTTTCCTGCATTATTTTCCAACGCATTCTTTTGCCTGAATTTCATACATATTTTGAAATGGTTGCTCAATCCGCATTATACACTGCCTTTCAAACATTTTGACCAGTTTGTCCATTGAGCAAATTCGATTGACGGTAATGAACAATTTGTTTCTTCGTAAAGATTATTGTAAATCTGCAATAATTCATACACAAGATTACATATAAGTTCATCATCAAAAATAGCAACTGTTTTGAGTTTGTTTCTGTTGCAGCGTCTCTTTTGCGCGCGGCTGCAACCGCAGTGCGAGAGCCTGGCCGTCCTACTTTCGATCATTGAGGCCGACTTGACTACTCAAGCTAAGCGTCGCGAACGTTGTGCGATGCATTTGTAAAACGAATGTGCTGAGCGGGCAGAAACGCTGCAAACTATGCAGACTACGTTTTGGGAGATTATGTTCCTACCATTCTTTGTAACTTTTTCCTTCCGCACTGTGATTTCCATTGTTTTCCCATTTGCATAGCGGCGGCCTTTTGCACAGTGTATTCTATATGTGCGATATAGCATGCTGAGAACCCTGCAAATAAAAACGTGATGAATGCTGAAAATCCAATTTCTAACAATTTTTAACAAATTTTAACTTTCTAAGAAACTAACCAAATAATGCTATTGTCAAACTCAAAATGATGGCCGTGATGCTGACGCAGCACATGATATCGGAGATCATACGTAACTGTTTCCGACGAACTTTGATCTTATGCTGTAGTTCTTGTACATCAACAATTTCACAATGCGCCTAGAAATCAGTTACTTCAATGTTCAAAACGTGGTCTGTATTTTAAAGCTTACATGGCTTATATCACTTAATCTTGGGGGTACGACAGCCTCGACTTCACGCACTGGAATCTTCTGCGACTCCTTTTTGCGAAGGCCCCATACAAGTTTTCTTCTTCTTGAGGGGGTGTTCGTTCGTTTCTCTTCATCTATATGTTTGAAGTATGAAAAACGGTCGAGGTATTTGGAAAAACTTTTACGTTTGCGTTTCCAGCCAGGAGAGGTTCCGCGCATTAGTCCTAAACTTGATTCAAACAGAGTGTTCTAAAATTATGCGCACACTGTTTGATCGTTGATAACTCTCTTACTAAAGTTTACCTTCGATTTTCGGGTCCCTTTTCTAGTGCTGGCTTCAACTTAGATCTGCGATAAGGAGCGGATTATCAATCACTCTTCGTTACTATAGGATTACGGTAGGAACATTCGAATACAGAACCATTATAAGATTAGCCGCCTAACAACAATGCTTTGAAAAAAGCTGAAAATTGTTGAGCAGGTTTTCCACATATGCTCATTTCACTGCACAACTTTTTACGAGTTTTTTGAGCTTTTCTAGTGGTGTATCACAGCTCTGATGAACATTCAAAAATAGATGTTACGGTTTACCCGGAATAGCTCAGAAAGGAAGGATCACAGTAAAGTGCAAAATTCATATAAGAAATTAACCTTGATTAGCCTAAGGGAAAAGTTTTTGGCTTGTTTGGCTTCTATCCTGAGCAGAATATGGCTCACAAGGGCCTAAATTCCTCATCGAAGTTCCCACAATAATCCTACAATAACGAAGATCGATCAATGATTTGCTCCTCACTTTGAAATTAAGTTGAAGCCAACTCCTAAGAGCGGTTCCCAAAGAACGACGAAAGACATCAATGCAAGAGTTATTAACGATCACACAGTAGCACAGTATCTTGAAAGATCCTGTATTAGGTCATATAAAGCCACATTGCATTTTCGAGGCATTTTTTTTTGAACTTTGTATGATCTTTTGCGAAATGTATCGTCGATTCATGACACGCAAAGACTGCGCCTCTTTGCGTCCGATTAAGATAGTTTGCGAATGGAAGAGACAGCAGATGGTAAGAAAAACGAAAGGGCGCTCGTTGAGAGAGACGCAGATATGTCCGCAGTATTTGCGTGCTATGAATCGCCTAGACATGCTTTCACAAGCATTTATCGTGCTTTACCATCTATACTACATCTAGGTCGATCTCAATTCAAATAGAAATTGAAATTTAGACTCCCCTATCAGGTCATTCGGTTAAGCTCTGGGGTTTCTCATACCTGCAGGGCGTGCAAGTAGTACCTGAGCAGCCGACTGCCGCCGCAGTCAGGCGCCGAAGCTGCCAGCAAAGCCGTTGCAGATGATACAGTAATTACGCTCGTCGTCCAAAACTCTAGCCGACTGATTTCCCTCACTTCGTCTTGCTGAGATGCGATATCAGCCTCAGGGACAGAATGATATCCGCGATGGTTGAAAACAAAATATCGATTATTTGAACAGTCCAATAAGTGAAAAAGACCTTTAAATCAAAATTTCATTATTCGAATATTCGATGCTATCCACTTATTCGTTTGTTCGATAGCCAATATTCGAATTTGAATAATATGGAAATCGGAAGTCGATTGATATTCGTTCGTTCGGAAATTTTCGAAAAGCGATTATTCGATGTTCATTCGTTTGTATTCCCGTGAATCAACCATTCGGTTTCGTTTATTCGATAAGAATTTCCGTTTAAAACCTTAATATCCTCGAAATCTATGTGGTTTTGAACACCGGAAACTCATAATTTTTCAAGAACCATGCAAATAAACAAAACTACACAGAGTAGAGTTTTTTAAGAAAAATGATTAAAAAATGATTAAATGGCTCGAAATTTGTATGTTCTATTAATATTAGGTCGTTCCGAAAGTTCTTTCCGTTTTTTCAACATATCATAAAAACACGTGAAATAAAGATGGGGAAACGTTTCAGGCACTATCCGACGCAGCTTTTCTTCCTCTTTTCTGTCATACTACTGTACCAACTTTGGCAATTTTTCACTATCTTCTTTCTTAACTTTTGGAGAAGCTTTAATAGCAATCGGTTAGAGTAAACAAAGTGCAATTTTATGCAATTTTTCGGCATCTATAGCTAGCCTCAAAACATTTTTAGAATTATTTTTCTGATGCTATCAAATTCCACTTTTGGGGATGCCAAAAACCACAGAACATAAAACGGCGCACAACTAAGGTGTCATTCGATGCAGCTTTTTCTCCTCTTTCTGATGAGTACTTTCTCTTACTATTTTGTGGGGTCTTTGGCGATAAAATTTCCATAAATCTTCATTTTGAACGCACCTCATGATGTATCCGTGCAATGCAAAATCTTATGTTTCGAAGCGGTAAATGCTCAGTTACTTTGTAAAAATAATATACAATCATAAGCGACTTTTGAAAGTTTCGAAAACCGAAGATTTGTTGATGTTCAGAGCGTTTGTGTGTTTTGTGACTTCGAAAAAGTGAAGACTTCTGAAAAGTTATCTAAAAAAATAATGAAAAGCCGGCTGAAATTCCCAAAAAATTGCATAAAATTGCACTTTGTTCACCCTATTTGACTGCTATCAAAGCTTCTCCAAAAGTTGAGAAAGAGGTTAGTGAAAAATTGCCAAATTTGGACATGGTAAAAACCATAGGTCCGAAATTTCGGCCATTATCTCACTGACCACAATAGCAAGCGGTACAGTAGTATGACAGTTGAAAAGAGGAAGAAAAGCTGCGTCGGATAGTGCCTGAAACGTTTCCCCATCTTTATTCCACGTGTTTTTATGATAGGTTGAAAAAACGGAAAGAACTTTCGGAACGACCTAATATGTTAGCGTTTTGCAGACCCGCTTGTATGTTTACCACTCAGCTGGAACTTTGCATACATACCAGTGGCGTAGTTAGAAAATCCGTTTGGGGGGGGGGGGGGGTGACAAAAAATTTTTTCTGATGAAAGACCCAGAAAATTTTTTTTATAAATTTGAATTTTTAAAAAATTTCAAAAAATTTTTTTAATTATTTACAAGTGTAAACAAGTCATTGCACATTTTTATAACCCATATAAGTAACTTTCAAAAATTTCGCGACCCATTCTCGGGTGGGGGGAGACACTTTTTGCGGCGATTTGCTGGGTCCTTATATCAATTAATTGATTTGTTTACGTATTTGTGAGAAAGCGAAAGCTTATCATGCTCTGACCAAGGAATAGCAATTTTCCATTGTCACGTAAACGGAAGAGGTAAAACTCGTCTTAATCTCAAGTTCGCGAGATGCGGTGAATGAACCCGTTGTGCCGAATTAAAGTCGCGCGATGTGAAAAATCAGGAGAGAGGGGAAGTTTCGCAGTGCATTTATGCTGGTGACCAACACAGCACCTCACTCCCACATTGAGCAATGTCCCGCGCTAGAACTAAAAAACTGTTTCCGCAAGCTTTCAAAAAAAAAGAAAAATTGCTTTTTTGTCTCTTTGTTGACCTCGCAGACTGCCGAGAAGCGTGTCAGTGTTGCGCCCAGGGAGCTATAGCACATTTGGTACACAATGACTCACTTGCTTATGAGAAAAAGTGCTTGACTAGAAGAGAGAGATATTACCTTAGTTCACCCATCCAGAAAGAAACATAGGTAATCTCAAACGCTAATTTCAAGTTTCTAGCTGCTGAGCTAGAAGCGAGTTATTATTTTTTGTCTCTGCATTGTATGTTCATCCACTAACACATATTACGATTCATCATATGAGTACTGATGCAGACGCAATAACTTTCTTATTAGCGTTAGGCCTCGGACAGAGTTCAAGCGATTTTATCGCGATTCAATCGCTACAAGACAAGTGTTACGAGCTCGCCGATCTTCTTGTATTTCGATTGCGATAGTTAGTCACAATTTGTCGCGTTGAAAAACTATCACAACCGAAATGCAAGAAGATCGGCACGCAATGAACTCGTAACATTTGTCTGTTGCGATTGAATCGCAACGGTCAAATCGCATGAACTCTGCCCGAGGCCTTAGAAGACTCAGTCGGGTAAAGGAACGAATCTCAATTAGGCACGGCATCCGCGAACTCCTGGTCCTTTCGCTTTACTTATGAGGAGCAGCAGTCCGTGGGGTGCCTATTTGCGATTCGCTCCTCAAAACGACTTAGGCCCGTATGCACGTACATCCCCGCGGGGAGGGGATGTGCGTTATACTATTGAAATGATCCCCGCTGGGGATCCCCTACCCTCCCCGCGCGAACCCCCGTATGCACAAAGACAATATCGGACAAGGGATCCCCTGTGGGGAGGGGAAGTGAACCCCCTTATGCACAAGAGGGGATCAAGCGGGGAAATCACCTTGCTTTTAAATTTTCTATGAAATACTCTTTCTTTTTTCATATTTTGACTGCAACTCATCTTCAACTCCTCACTTTCAATAATTTAGGGTTGCGGGATGCGCGTATGCAGTCACTGCGCTCGGATCACCAAAAATGATTTTTTTTACTCCCATTATGTTCTTGCTTTCTTGAATGCTGCCCACTTTCGCTCATGCTGCCCCGTTTCAGCGTAAAAATGTTGTACCATAGAAGTTGATGAGTCTCTGCAAGGGAATGGGTAGAAGACGTTATGCTGCCGAAAAGGGGAGGAGGTGCCGCGCGGACGCTCAAAGCATAACAGAACATAACAGAAGCTGCAAATCGTGCCAGCTCTCCATAAACGCTGTAGCTACAGCTGCATATCGTCTTTTATCCCAGGGGAATGATCCCCAGCGGTCATCCCCGCTATGCACAAGGGGAACGCTGGGGAGGGGATCACTCCCCCGAGGATCTCTACCCAGAAACACGCGATTCTGCTAATTTTCGTTTTATAAAAAGCAGTTTTACGTTAGAATTACAAGATAAAGAAAATTTATCATATATGTGATAGTTACAATATGTTGTACCAGCCTTTATGGATAAAACAATCATGTCAAGTAGAAAATGCGCAACTCTCGTGAATGGTCTCAAACTTCTACAGATATTCGAAACTGGCAGATGTATGTCCGGGTTTTTTTACAAGAAGCGAATATGGAAGAGAGAGTTACAACTGCAAGCTACAGGTCGCTGAGAGAGGAACTCGGCTCCCATAGAAAATCTTTCATCAATTTGAACGAAATGCTTTGTAATAATTGACTGAAATTAGAATACTCGCTTCTCTGGCTTTACCTACACCATCGAACCCCTACTCCGTTTCAGGGGATGTCGATCCCCTCCCCCGCGTTGTTGAGTTACACTCGTGCATACGGGGATCGAGTGGGGAGGGGAAAGGGATCCCCTCCCCCATTCGAACCCCGTATGCACTGGGGTTCGCTCGATCAATACCTCTAAAACCATTCACACCATCCCCGCTTAGGTGCAGGGGAGGGGATCGCTCCCCTCCCCTCTGTCATGGCGGGGGTCGGCGGAGAGGATCGTTCCCCTGGGGATCCAGCTCCCTTCCCCTCCCCAGCGGGGACGTACGTGCATACGGGCCTTAGTTTGATGTTATTTCAATATCTCAGCTTCCTTTCAGGCGATTTCTCTATACAGGCTGTTCATTCTCACATATTCGGCGTATACCAAGCACACTTATAAAAAACCTCATAACTCGCTTCAGAACGAACTCACAATTAGCGCCTAGAAATAGCATATCCGAAATTAGCGTTTCAAGTTAAGTCAACTTATGCAAATATGTTTTTTTTTGAAAAGCAAGACCTCTTCATCGCGAAAACTACCTGCTTTTCCCGATCGTTCTGACTTGAACGACTCCTCGCGTTTGTCCTATAAAACGTTCAATAATGAAATGTTTTTGTTGTCTCTTTCTCTGATACTTACTGCTTGTGTTTTCTGTGACTTAAATCCTGTCAAAGAAGCAAATCTTTTAATTTTTCTTTGCAGAGAGGATTCTTGAATAAATCAAACATTGACACTGAGCTCAAAAAAACATAACATACTACTTTCTTCCAACCCTTCTTTGCTGAATCTCTTATGGGACAAAAGCGACGAAGATTCCTTGGAATGCTTCGGAGTTCCACTTTCCTTCGAGTACTTTGGAGATATTTCCTTCCACCGTTTTCTAATGCTAAGTGATTCCTTGGAACGTTTTGGCGTATGACCTGCTTCCCTTGATAGGACTGGAGATGGAGAAACTTCTTTTGATAGCTTCATGCTATCATGTATTTCTTTAGATTCTTTGGATTGTTTCGGAGTATCCGTCGGTTCCCTTGATGGTTTTAGGATATCCTCTCTTGACGTGCCTTTTTGATCTTAATATAAATTGAACTGGCGTTTCGTACACTACATAATACTGCATCCAAACAATATTTACAATAGAATACTGTTTCATTGGTCCAACTGTGACTTCCAAACTTTTCTTTTTGAGAGTGAGATTCGACTGACACTGCTTACTTGCGTAAGAAATGAGCAATGTAGAAGTGGTAAAGCAAGCTGGCGCTATTCGGCTATCCGGGCCCCAAAATTTTTTGTCAAGAATTTTGCTAAAACACTCAGGAGGGTTATCTGGCATGCTAATCAAGAATATCACTTTCTTCCGCGCGAAACTTCCTGTGCGGTTACGGTAGGTGTACGGTAGGGGCCAAAATCACAGATTTCTCTGAAACTTGGCCTAGGGGGTTATTCGATTCGCTGAGCTGATTATCATATTCAGCGTTATTTTCTAGGACTACGGTGGGTATACGGTAAGGGTTCAAAAATCATGGATTTGGCTGAAAGTTAATCTAAGGGGATTATCTGACGTGCTGATCACGAAAATCATACTTTTTTTTCGCATAATAAAGCCTTTTTATGAAGTTACTGTAGGTTGAGGTAAGAGTCAAAAATGGCAAAATTGCCTGAATTTGTGTTTGAGTGTTGGGTGTAAGCAGAGGTGCGATAGGGGGAGCCGGGTCCCCCAAAAGTGAAGGTGGTTTCAGCTACCACTGGCCGGCCAAAAGTGAAGGTGGTAGTGTCGGACACTCACCTCCCAAAAACGTCGACGGGGGGGGGGGGAGGTGCGGGGGGAGGATAGAACGGACGAACGGAGCTATCTTTCTAGGTCTAACGTCGACCCAACGGCCCTCTTTAGGGCCACAGATACGATGAATATTAAAAATATCTATAAATTTTATTTATAAAAATTTAAAATAGACGTGTTTAGTAAATGGTGTATTTGGAAGTAGAAGTTTGTTGGACTGTACGGATTTTATTAAGCAAATTTTGTTATAACGTACAGCGAAGAAAGTAGATCGATCCAGGCAGTAACGGCCGAGAATCAGAATTTCGAATAAATAAATAGTGAAAAATCATGCAAAATTTCCACTGTTATAAATCTGTTGTTTGAAGATGTCAGCAGTTGCGACTTCATAGGTTTTATAGAGTAAGGTTTGCCTTATCAGAATATGTCTTGTCCGTTCCGATCCATTGAAACACCTCCGAGATCCAGAGTCATGAAAAAGCAGGTAAAAAAGAGCTTTTTGAACTTCAACAGCTCATAACTTCTTCAGAACTGCATGAATCATGTTGCGACTTCACAGGTTAGATTCCTCTCATCAAGGGCTTTCAGATGATATATAATATGTGGGGGTTTAGAGCCTCCTGCGAATTATGACCGGGGGGGGGGAGACTTTTTAGGCCAAAGTCTCCCCCTCGCCCATTTTAATGTATTGGCTGGAGGCTGCCGGGGGAGACTTTGGCCTAAAAAGTCTCCCCCCCGGGCATATGCCGTAAGAGGCGCGATACCCCCACATATTACATATCATCTGAAAGCTCTTGACGAGAAGAATCTAACCTATGAAGTCGCAACATGATTCGTGCAATCCTGAAGAAGTTATGAGCTGTTGAAGTTCAAAAAGCTCTTTTTTACCTGCTTTTTCATGACTCTGGATCTCGGAGGTGTTTCAATGGATCGGAACGGACAAGACATATTCTGATAAGGCAAACCTTACTCTATAAAACCTATGAAGTCGCAACATCATACACTTCCACATTCAAGATTTATAAGAGTTTAACTCTCAACAGTCAAAAAACACGCAAAAATGGCGCAAAGTTTTAGAACTCTGGTTTTCAACGACTATCTCTTAAATCGACCCGATTCCTTCACTAGCTGATAGAGCAACATCTACTCTTCAAAACCTATGAAGTCGCAACTGCTGACATCTTCAAACAACAGATTTATAACAGTGGAAATTTCGCATGATTTTTCACTATTTAAATATTCAAAATTCTGGTTCTCCGCCGTTACTGCCTGGATCGACCTACTTCCTTCGCTATACGTTATAACATAATTTGCTTAATAAAATCCGTACAGTTTTGCTAAGCTTTACTTCCAAATACACCATTTACTAAAAACCTTTATTTTAAATATATATGCCGCCGTATACATAAATATATGCTTTCAATAATCTTTTTTGCGTTTGTTTTGCTTATTCTCCTTCTTTGTCGTCCAGCGAAAAATTTTTTATTCCAAAAGTGAAGGTGGTCACCCCGTACCAGCTCAAAAGTGAAGGTAGGGGGAGACTTGGCTCCCCCTATCGCACCTCTGGGTGTAAGCCGACTTGCCCTACTGTCATGCTTTTCATACAAGACCATCGCCGCGCGCGACACACTCTGCTTTGCCTAAGCAAACATATGGGAAAACGATTTACCGCGTACCATACGCCCTACTGTATACCTACCATATACACAGGAAAACGTCTTCGTGAGGTTAAAACGTGATATTCGTGATCACCTTGTCAAATTACCCCCCGAAACAAGTTTCAAGCAAATTTACAATCTTGATCCCTTATCGTTACCCACTGTAACCCTAGAAAATGGCACTACCATACGAAGCCAATATGATATTTGGCATCAGTGGGTCGGATACCCCCTCCCCTCCCCTACAACGATTTTGAGCAAAATTCACTATTTTGACCCCCTATCGTATACCCGCCGTAATCCCAAAAAATGACGTTACCATACAAAATCATTGCGATATCTGTGACCAGCGGGCTGAATAAGCCCTCTAGATCAAGTTCTAGCAGAATCCACGGCAAAAAATTTTTGGGACCCGGATAGCCGAATGCGCCAACAAGCTATAGTGTTCAAGCGCAATATAGAGTGAGAAGGAGAGGAATTGACTAAGATAGATCGATTTATACTAGAACGAAACGTCGTTTAGTTTCGATGCATTCTTAATTAGAATATAGATTACTAGCTGATGACCCGGTCTCGCCCGAGACTTTTAGTTCAACCAAGATAAGGTAGGGGACGAAATCCGCCTTTGAAACATCTCCGCGGACTACTGGTCCTGCAACCACAAAAAATATTTCAAAAGGACCAGTTGCCAGCAAAGGCGGGCTCAAACTGGCGGAGTTCGTTCCCTACCCACCAAAATGTCATCGGCTCCCAGAATCGTGTAGAGGAGGGTTGCGCACTTGCTTGATTTTCGGGACAAACTTGTTAAGCCTCCACGTTTTAGCACTGTATTTCGTACTTTCTCGTTGAGCTTTCCTCAAAACCAGTACAGTCCGCAGCCCACGAATCTGGAAGCTGATCGTACTTACACTTTCTAGCTTCTACAATGCGCAAAAAACGCTTTGAGACAAACCCGCTGCATCCTGTCGACCTTGAAATCAGAATGAACTTTACTACCCCTACTTACATGTTATTGGAAAATGATTGGTTGAAGCACGTCTAACTTTCATTTTCCCAGATTTAAGTGAACAAATCAATAAATCAATGGAAGGGCCCTGCGAATCGCCTCAAAAAGTAGCCGTAAACCACCGCCAGGGTCGAAAACATGCGTGTGCGAAGTTTCAGCTCATTCGGTTCAATGGCTGGTGTTTCTATAACGAACGAACAACTAAACGAACATCCTCACAGACATTGAGTTTTATATATATACCAGTGCTTCACCTCTGCTTCGCAGAGGTTCGCTGGCCATCATGAACCGTGGTTAACTCACTCTCTGAGAGTTTGTCTCTCCAATCGTTGTTCGGTTGACTGCAACATGAGACCCGTAGTTAAAAATGAACTATACTCGCTATCTTAATCTCACATGATGTTTAGTGTCGTAAATCATTCCTCACTGTAATTTCGTAATAGACAGACTTACAGACCGACAAATAAGCGGCTTATTATAAGTCATGATAGATTGCATCTTTGCATTTTTTACTGTTTCCTGCTGTATGCATTAGTCGAAAGTGGAGGTTTCCACTATGCTGCTCTAAAATCGTTCACTTCTGTTCAATCGACTATTTGTTGAAAGCGATAATCACAGCCAAATATGTGGCAAGCGCGCTACATTAGTGGGTCGGAAGGTGAATGGGAGCAGGGGCGGAATAGAGATTTGTGACGTTAGCTTTAACTAAAGTCAAATCCCAGACATTACGTTGGGGAGATTTCGAGCAGCTATGCCTCCTGCTTCTCAAACTTTTCTCTTAAAGCATGAGTATTCTTTTCGAAATCAATATTGAGCTTTATTTCCTGAAGTTCCGTAGTCCTACCAAGCTGTCAATCCATTCCAAGTGTTTCTACTAAACTTCTTTGCGAACACATTGATTAAATGCGCATTGTAGTACAAATCACCGATGTGTTGGGTAATCAGCACATCTTTGGGATGTTCTAACATGCTGACGACAACAGCAATCATACTTGCCTGCCTTGTGGGACGAAGCCTTATAAGGAATGGTTCCGATTTCCCACAGCTAAAATCATGGATGAGGTCATTTGGAATATACCCACAATAGCTCTAAGATACAGATCCGCGGCATATGAAAATCTTTGGTGTGATTCGAATACAGAGTAGAAGCATTTTCTAAATTCAAGCTATGGCCCACCATGTGGGTCACATTTTCTCACGTGCCAGTGTTGCGTGGTCCACGTGGGTCATTGTCGTCAGTGTCGGGCAATTTTAAGATATTTCGTTACCAAGGCCTTTTCGCTATGCTGAATCCGAAAATTCAAACGATGCCTAACGAGAAGAAACTGCGTCACGAACGATGATATACGACACACTTTTGGAGTTGCACCTATCGCGGATAAACGAGGTGCCAGATTACGATGGTATGGTCACGTTTTACGAAGTGAAGATAATACAGTAGCAAAAACAGCACTTCGCCTAGATCAAGGGGAAGAGACCACGTGGCCGGCCGAAGCAACGCTGGTTAGACACCATTCGAAACGACCTGCCC